TTCAGTAGATTAGAATTGTGCTTTAATCGTATGTAAAGAGCTGTTGTGGTATGTGATGATTTGTGTGACAGGTACATTGAGGCCATGCAGGCTCTAATGAAAGAGAAGCTGGAGAAGGATAAAACAGAACTGCCTCCTCTGTGCTGCTGTGGAGACTCTTTCTGGGACAGTCATCCGGATACCTGTGCCAACAACTGCATCTTCTACAAGAATCCAAAAGGTAAACTACTCACTCGGTGTCCTTAGTTTTTATTATATTTATAGAGTATTCTGCTTTTCTTTGTCTTGTTACACTGTGTATTGGGTAATTCTGAGTTTTTGTCCAAGTGACACAACATTTTGTTAGGTGCTTGGTTCCTATTTCTGTGGCATAGCCCCGCCCACAGAGAAATATCATTGGTCCTTAATCCTGCTCCTCATAACTGAACTTCAGAAATGTTCTGATTGGTTGTGATTGTGTTGCTGGGAAACTTGTCACATTGTGCCTGTTTTTATGTCATAAATGTTCTTACTCACAGTACCATGACTTGACAGACAATGCATGTGGGACCTGTCACAACTGACATCTTTTGTTTTTCCACTTTCCATGATAACGGTACATATTTTTACCAGACAGTCTGAAGTTTAATCATGGATTTAGTTTAGCAACAGCCTTATTTAAAAAAAATCTTTAAATACCCTTCTGAGAAAAGATTTCATACTTTTAAAAAGAGTACTTATTAGGAAGGAATATACTTCAAAACAATATATTCAAGTGAAAGTAAATCTAATGTTTTGCAATCATACAATTCAATTAAAATATATTATATTGTGTATCTTTAAAATATGGTTAACGTTTACTGCTAAATGAACTGACAAGCTAAACTAAAATACAATTTCATGTACTTTCTTTTGAAACTTGTGTTACATAATGAATTTATATTTGTTATTTGTAATGTATTTCAAATATATTCACTTTAAATGTAATACTGAATAAAACACTACAGTTAATCAAGTATTTTACATGTGCTTTAGCATCTTAGCACATCAAATTAAAAATATATGATTTAAAATGTATTTTTAAAATAACTGTTAATAACTTTTGCATTATTACAAGTGCACCTTTTAATGGTAAGTGAGTTAAGAAACATAAGCATGAAAGTGTTCTTTAAGTACTTTTAAGTGGCCTTTTATTTTATTAATATTGTATCTATTGTATCTGCAAGTACAGTTTTTTAATATATACTTTTAAGATTACAAGTACACATTCAGTACAATTAAGCACACTTCTTCACAAGCGTAATCGTGCCCATATTGCTCAACTTTTTTGACACTGACATTTATTCAACTTTAGAGTTTATTTATTGGTGATTTATGATTGTTTTCTGCAGCGTATGCTCAGGCTCTGCAGTCTGTCTTGCTAAGCTGTGATCTGAAGGAAGGAGGCTTTGGACAGCATTCGTCCACCTGGAAGGCGTCCTCTATGGATGTCCATTTTCAAAGGAAGTGATTGTATTCCATCTTTAGAGTCGTTATTGAACATGTTTTAAGACTGGGCAGCCTGGAGTGTTATGTTGTATTAATGTAATTATCTCATGGTGTGATATGTTTTTATTGTTCTCATAGATGTTTTTCAAATACCTGACATACCTCTATGTCATTTTTTACAGCATTTTTACTGTTTTAATAAATCTTACTGAACTGGGAAAATCAACTGCTGTGATTGTTTATTGTGTCACAACTTGGTTTTCTTAACCTAAATGCACTTAAATGTGTATGTGACCTTTGTACTGTACAGTTATTCAGCCATTATCCACATATAGTCCCTCATCATATGCTTCAGGTTGAGAAGTCAGTAAATGAATGGCAGTCACATTTATTTCTGTTTTCGTCTGTGGAAATAAGAAGTATTTATTTCCATTCCAGAAAGCAACATCCTAATTTCTAGTCAAGGTTGTTAGGTCAAGGATGTTAGGTTTGATAGGTAAAATCTTGGGCTTATTATATATAACTATATAAAAAAAAAAGTATATTGTCAGTGCAAGCAGATGCTCATGAATTGAAAGGATTTGTGTAATATATAGTATAGAACATAAAGGCATAAACACTGTACTAAAGGTGTGTTAAAGTTATATTTTTTATATAAAACGGATAGTTCTAAACTAAAGTAAATAGTTTAGGTCAGGTATTATTATTATTATTATTATTATGAATTGAAAATAAAATTACAGGGTACAAAATCATGAAAAAAACAAAAATTAGACAGTTTTAAGAGCTTTAGAGTTGCTGGATGTAAGAAGAGTGTCTAGGTAGGATTTACGTTCCTTACAGAAAACAAAAAAAGTAGGGCTTAGCACCCTGAAATTTACATTTGTGTAAAAAAAAATTGCTAGAAAAAAAGTTTATCAAAAAATATTAGTCCTTAACTTTATTAAAGTTATGATAACAAAACAGATAGCAAAACAGACTTACAAATCTGAATTGGAGAATAAAATGGCTGCAAATAACTGTGGCTCAGCCTGGGCTAGTTTGAAAACTATAACAGGCCTTCAGAATATACAGAATAGCAGCCAGGTTACACTGGAAGGGTTTAATTCAGATGCTGATTTTGCCAATGCACTTAATTGTTTTTATAATCGTTTTGATATTTCTAATTTTAGTAGTGAAACTCAGGAACTGAGTGATAAACTTAAGGATAATCAGCAATTTGATATAGATCAAAATGATGTTGAAAAGGCTTTCCTTTCCTTTTCTAAGGAAAACTGAACATACACTTGACCCTATGCAATTTGCTTATAGGCCACATAGAGGAGAAGAGGACGCTACAGTTATGTTGTTGAACTTACTTGCTAAACACTTGGAGGGTAATGGGTCTCATGCTAGACTTTTATTCGTTGATTTTTCATCTGCTTTTAACACAATCCAACCCCATGTTCTAATTAATAGGCTTTTAGAACAGTTTACATTGAGTAACAATATTGTGGGCTGGATTCTTGATTTCTTGACTAATAGGACACAGAGAGTAAGGGTGAATGGAACCCTGTCTGACCAAGTTTGTTCCTCTATGGGCTCCCCACAAGGATGTGTGCTTTCACCACTATTATTTATTCTCTACACAAATATGTGTCAAAGTAAGTGGGAAAACAGGACTATTTTAATATTGTTAGTGAGCGCCAGGGCAATGAGACCAGCCATGGCCCGATTATTGATGACTTTATAAAGTGGTGTGAGGAGTCCTACCTCCAATTAAACTTATCTAAGACAAAAGATATGATTATTGATTTTAGGAAACAAGCCCACCCACATGAAGTTACATCTATTAAAAGTCAGAAAATAGAATCTGTGCAATCTTACAAATACCTTGGGACTATCATTGACTCTAAGTTGAACTTTGAAGCAAATTGTGAAGCAGTGTGTAAAAAGGGGTACCAGTGTCTGTTTTGTTTAAGGAAACTGGCCCATTTTCACATTGACAGGACCATGATGATGTTATTTTATCGTGCTTTTATTGAATCACTCTTAACATTTTCTCTGGTGTCTTGGTTTGGAAACTTGTCTGTAAAGAACAAGAATTTACTGAGTTAAATTTTTAGATGGTCTAGTAAGCTGATTGGGAGTCACAGCTTAGTGCATCCCTGTATACCAGACAGTTACAGCGGATGACTAACTCAATTCTAAATGATGACATTGAAATGATGATCATCCTTTGAACAATGAATTTAAACTTCTGCTATCTAGACGTAGATTTGTATTTCTGTATTGTAGAACTAAGCAGTATAAAAACAACTTTGTGCCAGCAGCTATCACTCAGTTGAATAAGGATAGGTCTTAGGAACATTATTATTTATTTATTATTTTTTTGGTAATTTATTGTTTTTAGTCTAGGTGGTTTTTTAGTGATGCTGGGAACCTTAAAGCACTTTTATCGTATATGTTGGTTAATGTTTGTGGTGTCTGTAAAATGTGAAAGATGTGAGAACTCATAACACTGCAAACCTAGTCTACAAATAAAGTGAACCTGAACCTGAACCTGATAACCAAATAAAACATCTTTGTATAACAAAGAGAAACTCTGTGAAGAAAAAGCACGTACAAAGATACAGAAATCCTTCCAAAATAAAATTGTAGTCTATATCTGCATTCCCAAAAGAGATGAGATGAGAAGATTCGTCTTCAGAAGAACAAAAAAAAGTCAATATATGGAAACATTTTTAAATAGATATTAACAGGTAAAAAAAGATTACGTAATTTATAAGAAACAAAATTTACCCTATTAAATATTTAGATGACAAAGTCACACTTTTCTTCCATGGAATGTTATCAAACTGGCCATTCCAGGAGGACACAATGTATGGATCTCAGCCTGGAATAGTTCGTTCATCTGTTCCGACAGGAAGAGGTAGATATATCCCCAATCGTTGTATGAAAAAGATGAGTTGTTGACAAAGAAAATTGGCATCTAACTAAGTCTTTAAGAAGAGGTATTGCCCCACAGGGAATAGCGTTTATAATGGCGAAAATCCAGTGACAGGTAGGCTAATACATCTTCAAAAAAATCTTAATAGGAATGTATGTAACCATCAGAATTTATTAAATGAGAAACCAGAATAACATTATTAATGACTCAATCTGGGAAAAACAAATATTTATTTTTTTATAAAGAATATCACCATTATTACAAATGAAATAGCCGTGAGGACTAAAATTGTTTATAAATTAGGTGCCACGGGCAAAAGCTCTTCTTTATGAAAATTTGATCATTTAAGAGGCATTTTATGATATTGTATGATATTGTAATTACAATGACATTGTAGAACCCTAGAGAAAACAAGGTTGGTAAGAATATTCCAAAATGAATCAGGGTTTAAGTACTGCTTTAACCAATTTATCTTAAAAGTATAACAGAAAAGCCGACGAATGAAGGGTTAATTTGAGCCCTGGAGTGACGTCACGATGTATCACATGTTTACGCCGCCAGATCTCGTGTGTGTGTGTGTGTGTGCGCGCGCGTGTGTGTGTGTGTGTGTGTGTGTGTGTGTGTGTGTGTGTGTGTGTCCTGTATGGAAAATGGAGACGCTACACCAGCACTGCACGAGCTAAAGATCAATTAGGCCTAGCTAATACTCATGTGATTTTTAAGACCAGACAAACTGGTATTAATAACACCCAGGTTGAAACGCACACGGACACCGGCCAAGGCAACCATGGAAATCTTTGGGAATTCAGAGCGCTTTACGGTTTTTCCACCTCTGGAATTGGGAAATGACAACACGTCTCCGATACTTTAAATGCAACTTTTTCATCTGGTTTAGGATCTCTGGCTTTCAACGAACATGATTTTATGGGCTCGTAGTTTTAGGTCGTAAGAAATGAGCGCAAACTGATCTGAGACACAAAACGATTAGTCAGCTAGTTTCGTTGTGTATTTTAGTTGTTCTTGATTTTAATCTTAAAATTGTGGATTTTAGAAGTCTTAATAGATATGGGATTTTTTATACATAATTTATAACGTAGATGATAATTTTAGTATAACTCTTTTTTTTTTTTTTGCAACGAGACAAACAACTTTAACTGTAAAAATGAGATCTCTGGCCCCGGGAATCAAACTCATTACTTCTTTCTCTAGAGACAGCTGGTGAGTAACAGGCCCATGTAAACACAACAGACTATACAGATAACATGCTCTGTGATGTTAAATGTGTGTCCCATCATGTGGGATTTTATTGTAACAGATTATTGATTTTCGATTACGCTATTGAGTTTTAGCGCTGCTTAAGAGTTCCTCATTAATCTATAAAATATAATGTTTTTAGTAGTGCTAATATACATTTCACCTTGTAGAATACAGGCAAATTTGACTAATTTACTACTCTGGAAATTTAACCACAGTTTGTATATGCACAACTTTATGCACAACATTTATTAAGAATCTTACATCACAATTTAAACATGATTTATGAATATATGCGTACCTCATGAATGGAAAATAAGTACTTAAGTTAAAGTACAGTACTGTGACCTAAATGTTAGAGGTTTCTGTTTTGCAGCATGCATCGCCCTCAGAACTGATGTACACTGTGTTAAGCGTGCTTCCCCCACAGGAAATGTATAAAAACGTATAGATAGATCATTCAGTGTGTGTGTTTGCCTTAGGTGAGGCTGTTTTCCTGTAAGTCACGTTGTGTGGTTTCATTTCTTTCACTGCCTGGCTGTTTTATTTAATACTACAGACACCTCCAGATTTCACTTTAACCACTGTTGATGCTTTTTGACTTGTAAATCTTTTATTTCAAGAACTTATTCCTTTTGATTAGGTACCGGTTCGTCATCCTCCTCCTTACGTTTGTCTTCTACACCACCTACCACCTCTCTCGAAAGCCTATCAGTATTGTCAAGGTAATAAAATGTCAGAGACCTGGCAACTAAACATTATGGTAACTAGCTGCATGATAGGCCTAACCTGAAAAGAAGACATGCAACAAACAGGATTTTGTTATACTGATAAATCACATGGTTGTATTTACATGTAATAAATTAAGTAAAATGTGTTAAATAATAATTTTATGTTGTGACAGAGTCAGCTGCACAGAAACTGCTCTAATGTTATTCATCCAGCAGACCTCAACATCACTGACAATGACACTTGGTGTGATTGGGCTCCTTTTGGTGAGTTTGATTCTTTGCCTAAAATCTGTCCTACACTTAATCTCTCCATAAAATGCCATTCAAAAGTTTGGGGTCAGTGAGATTTTTTTTTTTTTTTTCAAAGTCTCTTATGCTTATATTTAATTGAGCAAAAAATACAGTAAAAACTTTAATGGTGACACATTAATGCAATTTAAAATAATCTGTTTTATATATATTTTAAAATGTAATTTATTCCTGTGATGGCAAAGCTGAATTTTCAGCAGCCAGTCTTTAGTGTCACATGATCCTTCAAAAATCATTCTAATATACTGATTTGGTGCTCAAGAAACATTTCTTCTTAATGTCAGTGTTGAAAACAATTGTACTGCTTAATATTTTTGTGGAAACTGTGATCAATTTTTTTTTCGGATTCTTTGATGAATAAAAAGTTCAAAAGAACAGAATTTATTTGAAGTCGAAATCTTTTGTTGGATGTTGTTACTTTCAGTTTTGACCAGTTAATGTGCCCTTGCTGATAGAAAAAAAAACTTACTGTTTACTAGTTTATATTAACCCATCAATGTATTTCTTTATTTAAATTCAGACCAGAACAATTACCGGAACCTGTTTGGAGTCTTGGACAACTGCTTTCTTGTTGCATATGCTATCGGCATGTTCTTTAGGTATGATATTGGGTTTTCTTGGTTAGACTTTCTTGGGTAGTGTGTTTAGCTTGAGGTATAACAGCTGGTTTTGAAATATTTTTGACAGTGGGATATTTGGAGAGCGATTGCCCCTGCGTTACTACCTGAGCTCAGGGATGATTCTCAGTGGCATTTTCACTGCTCTGTTTGGCCTGGGCTTTTACTGGCAAATCCACTCTTTGTGGTATTACTGCTTAGTTCAGGTAAGCTAGTTCTCCTTTCTAAATTTAAAGGGGTCATATGATGCGATTTCAAGTTTTCCTTTCTCTTTGAAGTGTTACAAGCTCTTGGTGCATAAAGAAGATCTGTAAAGTTGCAAAGACTAAAGTCTCAAATCCAAAGAGATATTCTTTATAAAAGTTAAGAGTCAGCAACGCCTACCTAAAACGGCTCGTTCTAACACGCCCCCACATGTCTACGTCACTATGTGGAAATATTAGCATAATGCCGCCCAAATGTGCACGCAAAGTAAGAAGGCGTGGTTTCAGGAACAGCAGTAGTGTTGAAGCAGCCATGTCAGGGAGACGCTGTGTGTTTCAGTGCGAAAGCAAAAGCACTTTATTTGGCCTTCCGGAAGTAGATGCAATTAGGAATCATTGGTT